CAAGAATGGAAAAAAGATACCAGGGCCGGTGGGATGTGTCAATGTTAGCAGACTACTGCTGGAACTTGAAAAGAGATACTCCTGAAAGTGATTACAAAAGACAAGTGAAAAAAGAAGAGAAAGTCTTGATTAAAGAATGTTATAATATTTTGGTATTATTTCTTAATTCTCAATTTCATGTAAAAAGTTACAAAAACTAAATAAATTAATGTTGTTTTTAAAATAAATATAGTTGAGGTTCTTTGATATTTTTCTTAAATTCATAGTATTTAATATTTGCGATATTTTGAAACCAAGAGCTAATTTAAAAATTTTATTTGTATATTTGTATTCAATAACCCCAAATTAGTATAAAAACATAGCATTTATTTAAAGGCACACAAAAAGTTTGATTTTGTAGACCAGTGTTTAATTTGAAGCTTCTTATATTATAAATGTTACTCAATGAGTTTACATGTTAATAATAATTTTAGTAAGTTTCAATATTTTAATTAAATTACGGCACTGATTTAAAATTGAAGCCAAGGCCAGGTGGTTTTTTTTTTATTCATTACTAAAGTTTCACGAGTGACCTAAATAACCTCTTTTTTTTATTGTCATTTTTTTCACTTTGTGTTAAGTATTTTATATAGTAGCTGCTGTAATAGTATTTCTTCTTAAATGATAAACAAAGAAGATTTTACGATGATTATACTGTGAGTGAAATATAGGAATGTTTTATGTAACTTTTTTCATTAGCACATTTATTTATTAATTAAGAAAAATTTACTAATGAATGAATTGAATTTTGTGTCTAATAAAAGCAAAAATATATTGGCAGTAAGTTTATTCTTCTGCATTTTTCATTAGTGTCCTTGAATGGCAATTTATATAGTAGGCTATTATCTTTAATTAAATGACTTTAAATCAATTTCTTTAATTGACAGTAATCAAAGTAATTAATACAGTTAACAATAACTTAACATTTTCCTTTCTATGTGTACATACATGCATAATCATTTATATGTTAATAGTTAATCATTAAAATTATAGATTACAAAAAAATTGAAAAATAATTACTAAATCTAATATATAGCTATGAATTGCATATGTGAGATGTTTGTCACAATTAAATATATATATATATATTAATTAATGTGGAAATGATTTCAGTTGTGACAAACATCTCACATATGTATACTGAAACTTCCAGCTGTGGACTTATATATAAGTCCACAGCTGGAAGTTTCAGTCTATAGTGTGACTGGTGGAGTTATCACCTGCCACAGACTGATACTGACTGAAGTGAGATGAACCCCATCTCAGGACTTAGGCATCCTTCTTGTACTGTTAAGGTTCACAGCTCACCAAACTATATATTACATTACGTTTGCTGTATTTGGTGCCTTTTTGGCAAGAGTCATTCTACCAAGTCTTGATAACTTGAGGAGATATTTGTATATATATGTCCATCCATCCTCAAAATGTCCCATAGGAGATCTTTTTCAGCTGGTATCAAGTCTTGGTGGAATGACTCTCTTGCCAGAAGGCCATCTACGTACTATATAGCAGAATGTACTGTGCTATGAACCCAAATAGTACAAGAATCAAACTCATTTGTTTCACATGATGAATGATTTTCTCATAAGGAAATCTATATAGCATTGATCAATAATATTTGAAAACATCATTTTATATTTTGAAACAAAAAATTTAAGTTTTCCACAATATATGCATGAATTATACTGTTTTTGCTTCTTGGATACTTGATAACTCACAAATGTCCTGTTCTTGACTTTGTTTTTATGGAGACTTTTGGTCACGACCACTAGAACTTCAAAATATAAAAAATTTCAGCTAAATCCCCTGGGACTCATTTTCCATAAGATTCATGTGAGATGCTTTGGAATATGAAAAATAATTTAGGTGTATCAAAGTATCATGTACAAGAGAGCAAGTTGTCTAAAAGTTGAAGATTATCTGTATTGATAGGAGAAATTGCCAAAAACTTATTATTTTTTGAGATTCAAGTTCAAGTAGAATATAGAATAGTCAAATACAGTGGTGCCTTGTATAACGTACGCCTCAAATAACGGATGTTGCGAACAACGGACTTTCCGTTTGGCAGTTACGTTAGGCAAACAATGGACTTTCTGCGAACAAGTGCAAATGACGTTTCCACTCTTTTGCCGTTGCCAATGACAATCTGCTATTTTTATAACATATTAATATTATTAGAATATATTATTAGTATATCTGAAGTACAGAGCTCCTGTTGTGATTTGGCTTGCTCCCTTGTTTATTACGTACATCACCTCAGTGCAGGGTATTTACATTTATTCAAGTGTTGTGCAAATCATGGCTTCTAAAAAAACAGAAAGGTGATTTTCAATTGAAACAAAGCAAGAAATCATTAGAAGGAATGAAAGTTGACAGAAACTTCCTTGTCGAATGGGGACAGGTTCAGGAGTTTACCAACATTCATTATCCAAACACAGTTGAGGCCAACAGTATCAATGATCTCTACATTGACACCCTTGCCCGTCATTTCTGACAGGTGTTGAAGAAGAAAGAGAAACAGACCACCTTGGACATGTTTTTCAAGAAGCCAGCTGCCAAAAGACAAAGGATGGAACAAGAGGAGTTGACCCTGCAATCTCCGGTAGCCTCTCCTAAATCTGATTCCGATTAAAAAACAATAAAAAGAGACCTGTTGCAATGTGTAAAAAGTCTGTATCTGTATGAATGTGTGAATAAAGTGATTCTCCACCTCCTCCTCACAACATCTGACTACCCGGCATAATTGGTGACTGCTCCATTTTCATTTTTTTATGGTACAGTACGGTTATTTTGTGCTGCGGAACGAATTACATGTTTTAACATGTATTTCTATGGGAAAATGCGTTTCGTATAACGGACTTTTCACTTAACGGACGTGCACTTGGAACGGATTAAGTACGTTATACGAGGCACCACTGTAATATCAATTAATTTACTAACAAAACTGATTAAATAAGGATACTGACTTAAACTTATACAATAACCTTCTCATTTTAATTTAATTTTATTTTTACTAATACGGTGGTTTGATCAGACTGGTTTTGTTTATTTGTATGTTATTAATTTCAACCAATTACCATGTTAAATTAAGATTAAAACACTTTGATTTGTATTGTATTTGATGTTCCAAATGTAACACTCTGATGATGGTCCTTATAAAAGTTCTGAAAACATTAGCAGAGTAATGATGCAATGATTATTCAGTTACTATTCGGTATTAAGCCTATGTTTCGCTGTTTGGCCGAATACTGAGTACCTAAAAACAGGAGTAAGAAATAACAAAAATACAGTAAATTAACCATTTTGGTAACTTTTATTAATGCTGAACATACATTTCAAGTTTGAGAAAGTGCAATTTTTTGCTTATTTATGTAAAAGATCAAAGCAAAAGTAATATAACTAAGTTATTTTTTTAAGAGATAAAAAAAAAGATAACAAATTAAATGAAAACTATTTACTTATTATGTAGTTTAGTCATCCATATACTCACTCGTATATAAAAGAACAAGTCCTGATAGGATAATTAATGCAGAGCCAAAACTACTGGTGCTGGAAACATAAAAATTTGAGGGTGTGTTCCTTTTGTAAAGTTTAGGTTTGCTAAGAAAACATTATACAAAATTCAACCCTAAAGGGGTGAAAAAGGGTAAAAAATTTGTTTGAAAATTTTTACTTCGTGGGCACATTAGATCGAAACTTAGGTCATAAAATGTGAAAAAATAATAATTAATGATCTGTAAAGCATTTTTATGAAATCATCCCTTATTATAAACTTGAAAATTAAATTAACTTTTTTGTTTCATTGTACAAAATTATTTATCATAACTGAAGTCCCAGACAGCTTGGTAGCCCGAATGGCCCCAGGCTTCCTCCATATTTATTTTCACATTTTCACTACATGGTCCTTCTCTGTTCTTTTTCCGTTATTTACATGTGTAGGTAATTTCATTGTTATCCACATTTGATATCATCACTTATCACATACTGCTATGACACTCATGTCTGTTTGCTACAACTGTCAAGAATTAACGTGATTGGCAAAGTGTAGTGACAGTGGGCCAATAGAGAACAGAGTGCACAATCCTTGCCATAATGCGGTTTGCGTGCCAATTTTCGTACATGCATTAATCAAGTTGAGCAGTTTGGCCAAATATTCGGCTATTAGGTCTGAGGCAGAATATACTATTTGTTGCATCACTATAGCAGAGTTTAATTAAAGTGCTGTTTGGTTTGCTGACTTGTGAAGTTATTGTATAGGTTCAAATATCAATTAAAAAGTGAATGGACAAGAAGTAAAGGGAAGGCATGCCTTTAAAATAGTTCAGGGAAAAATTATGATGACAGATGAATATGTCTACAGTGTGCAAAGAATTTCTCAACTTTTTATAAACTTTTGATAAGTTTAGATGAACAAAATGCTGTTTGACAAGTTCATAATTAAAAATTAAAACTTGCAGATAATCCTCATGACCTTGCTTAGTTTGCATCTGCTTTTAAATTGACAGGTGCAATTTGAAAGCAGATGCAAGCTAAGCAAGGTGACGAGGATTATCTGCACACATATATGCCTATGTTTGACTGTATGAAAAACATGTCTGAAAAATCAAAAATCGTCAAGATTAGTAGCTTTTTCCATCTCTACTATTATCATCTATACATCTACATCTGTAATATTTGATTTTATTCACCAACAAATTTATAGATATAATATGCCTTTAACTGGAATTTTCATATTACATAAATGGAGATACTCTCATTGTCCAAAGTATTATTTCTAATAATTATTTATGTTAGGTAATTCTTATGAGGGAAATAATAGAAAGAAATTATTAATAATGCTTTATTAATTATAAAAATTATAAAGTTTAAATTTAATATAATTATAAATTTTCATATTTTTAACTTATGGATATGTTTTAAATAGTTTATTAAATATTTATTTTTATTGTATCTTTCTCCAGCTATCACAAGAGAGAATTTTTATTTTGTAGTGAATGTTTAAACATACGAATTGTTCATGTTTACCTTACCATTTAGTAATTTTGCAATGACAAAGGTGTGTGCTGCTTTATCTTGCAATAATACAACAAACGATACAAAACTTACATGGCACAATTTACCGAAAGAGGAATGGCTCCGTGAATTATGGGTCGATCTCTTGGGCATAAAAGACAATAAAAGTAGTGAAAACAAAGTGTGTTCTTCGCATTTTAAACAAAAAGATTTTACTAATGGCAGAAAGACTTTACTAAAAGGAGGTTCTGTTCCCGAATTACATCTCGCTAAACCAAAGAATACGGATGACACCGAAAACGAAAGTGAAAGTGATGTGATTCTGTTAAGCAGCAGTGATGACGACGGGAAGGTAAATCGAAAATCATTAAAACGTTTACACGAAAGAAGAAAACTGTACGATGACTCATCAGACTCTGAGGTAAGTTAGGATTATGCATTGATTCTGTAACACAGTAAGAAAACTATATTGGAAATAGCATGTTTTATTTCTACATTAAAATATATGAGATAAATATGAAAACATGAATATGAATGTATAAAATTAACTTTATAGAAATAACTAATATTGAAAATTTATATATTATTTAAAACAGTAGCTACAGCTGTATGTGTCAGTGGCCTGACTAAGCCCTCTAAAAAATATAATAGTTCCCAGTTTAGTCAACAGTACTCAGCATGTGCAGTGTATACAGGGTGATTATAATTAACATTCTGATTTCACAGGAATTTAAAATAAGAAGCATAAATATGTGTAACCCAATAGTTATTTCAAATACTGAATAAACAGCTGAATTCTTTGTCAGGCTGTATAGCTAAATTAAATTTAATTAATTAATTTATTTATAATTATTATATTTTACAAGAGATGGTGGGCTGGTGGCCTGTTTCCTGCCAAATAGCTTAGTAATTATTTAGCCTTATAGCCTGATAAGGAATCTATCTGTTCATTTGATATTTGAATTGTAATAATTTTTATTCTTTCTTAAATTTAAGATAATCTCTTAAAAAGTTATATCTAAGCCATTAGTGATGACCACATATAGTTGTAATTTTTTCTTTTGTTTATCTTGATTCCAAAGAGACCATTTCAACATTGTTTATTATCTATACAATTATTACAAAGTTACTATATGAACATTTTAAGAATATTTTTAATGTTAATACTTTTTTCTAAATTAAAATTAAAAATAAAATAATTATGTTAATATATAAATGTGCAATGATTCAGTAACATTTATTTAAATGTATTGATTTAAATGTGTATTCAGGAAAATACAAACTTAAATCTTCGAAAAGAATTTTTTAAGCACTCCATGCCAACTTTACTAAGACTATTGATTTTCACTTTTACACATTAGAAGTTATGCTGTATTTGGTATTTGTTCTTTTACATTAAGTATTTAGTGCCCGCTCTATTTTAAAATTTCAAAAAACTGTTTTAAAATGCAGCAAAATTTAATCTTTACAATGAAAATTGAAAAGAAAGAAATTGTTTTAAGAAGTGAAAACAATTTATTTGGTATTTTAAAAATTATCAGTTTAATTTTTTTGTCATTGTAGGATGAAGTAGATTCAAATTTAAAGAAAAGATGTAGATTCAAATTTAAAGAAAAGAGAGCTGCGAGAGTGGCTGTTGCAAAAATATCGAAGACCGTTCAGAAATATCAGCTTGCCGAACCGAATTCTTGTAAGGAAAAGAAAGATAATTCAACAGCTTTTACACAGTTTGATACAGCAAATGTAACTAAAAAGAAGGAGCCTTTAATTATTATCAAACCGGAAAATAATATTGATCTGATGATGGAGTGTTATGAAGAGTTATTAACTCAGACCCAAGTAGATGCTTATCGCAGAGCAAGACAAGAATACGATAGTGTCCTTAAGAGATTATATAATTTAAAAGTAACAAATGCCAAAATAACGTATTGCACAGATCTTAGTCTTCTTCCTCCTGAAGATGCTAATATGAAATCAAATTTTCTCTCTGAAGATTTCAATATATCTGATAAAAGTATTCATGATACTTTAGTTCAAAAGACTGTTTCTCCTCCTGTAAATAATTCACTAGCTGTTTCCAAACTACCTGTTGTAACAGAAGCAGTTTTATTAACTTCTCTGACTACTCCAATTACACAAATGACCACTTTGCCATCAAAAACGGTCACCAGTAACTCTGCGTTGACTGCAGGAAAGCCTATTGAAAATAATAACTTGATACCTGTTGGATCGACTTCCACATCTACAAATGCTACATCTGTGTTTCCTGTGTTTTCTCAATCAAAAATGAATACTGTAAATCATATGCCTGTGATGATAGGTCAGCCACAAACACCTATCCAGTTGCTTCAAACAACTTCTCAGCCACCAACAATTTTTCTTGCTAATGCTCCTAGTGTAAGTATCTTTACATTTAAGGGAATGATTTGTTTCATAAAAGTTATCTGAAAGCATATATGAAATTCATCATAGTTTATAATAACTTTTATTAATAATCAGTTTTATATATGATGTGGTTCCAAATTAAATTAAAAAAGTTTACAAATGAAATCTTACAGGGTGTTCCCCTCAAACATCTCTAGTTTTATGGATTAATTTTGCAAAAAGAAATGTGACTGCAGTACTGTAGACTATGGTAATAGAAAGTACGTCTACATTACATTAAATCAGTAAATTTCTATGTATGCTCCTGATGTGACAAGCAGCATGCAACCTAATGTAGCCATCATGTTAGGAGTCATGCTGTTAATGGCATTTATGATTCTTGTATACCAGGCTTTCATGTCTGGCACTTCTATAGCATACATATGATCCTTGACATATTCACAAAGAAAAACGTTTAAAGAGATAATGTCAAGTGATTGGGATGAATCAAGAAATGTGTTCTAGACCTTGTGGCAATGGAGATCTAGATCATTGCAGTATCAGCATCAGCAACACTTTCAAGTGTATGCACATGAAATTTAAAGTAGTGACCAACATTCTCTAACACATTTTTATCATATAACTGAACAAATGGATTTTATTGAACAGTTTAAAACTAGAGACATTTGAGGAGAACATCCTTTATTTATCTGAAAAAAATAGTTGTAAAAGATTTATTTTAAACTTTCATATTCAAAAGGTGAGACAATATATTTAAATATTATCTCACCTTTATAAGCTTACATAAATGTTTTTAGATGAATTTTTAGATGAAAGCGTCTTTTGATAAACTTTCTGTTGGTTATCACTAAATTTAAAATTAATATCATAATTTTTTGTTTATAGACCACAACAACGAATAAATCTGCTATGCCACCTTTACTATTATCTGGAAAATTAATAAATTCTAATTCATGCAAGATTGTTGTCGATTCAAAAACTGGTACAGTGCTTGGAACAATGACTGTTGATCCTCTTTCTGGAAACTCAGTTTGTAGAGTTCCAGGTAATGTATTAATGAAAATTTTATTAACAAATCTAACAATTACCAAAAAAATTCACAAGGTAATATTATATTGTCAGTTTCTGGGGTTGTTTAGGTACAAGAAATCACCAAACGATCGCCTAAATATCTACTCGGGCTTTAAGATGTTATTATATGTTGTTTAGGTAATTTAGGTATGATTCAAAAAATTTCAAGGAGATTTTAACTAAGTTTTTCTTTTACCAAGAAAGGAGATATCACTAATATTTTTAGGTGTTATACAGAGGGGGTGCAAAAGTAGATAAACAGTTGAGAATCTGAGAAATACAAATGTTTGGTGTTTGTTATTATTATTTTTAATATCTTTTATTAGTTTGTATTCCTTATTTGTGATTTAATTTGTACATAAAAATAAATGATTTTTTTTTCTATTTTCCCTGTAAGTGTTTTTTCCATAATAACAACTGTATACCTACTTTTGCACCCCCTCTGTATTTTCAATGTCTAATAGCAGGTTGCACTGATTTACATAAGTTTGATGAAAGTTGTGTGTAGTGATGATGTAATCATGTGATCATTAGTTTTACTATTATGTAAGACCAGCTGTATTTCCAGATATCTTCTTTAGTTAGATTGTTCTTTTGAGTTTTTCTAATATCTCAATTCTATTTCTAAATTCTGTATTTTCAGTACCTTTACCAGAGTATCAGTGATAGTGTTTAGTTCAAGAAATAAATGATTTGTAGAAATTTTATTGTACAAAGTTTCAAACCCCTTTAGCATTATTTGTTGAAGATTAGTATTCATTGTTTAGATTGTCTGACAATGATCTTGTTATTGTTGAAATGTGGTGGGAATTCATAAGTCTAGAATTGACTGATTGAATTGTTTTTGTCTAAGTTGTCTTGGATCTTAATGGATTTCTTTAGTCAGGGTTAGTTTTAATATTTGCTATATATTTATTCATTACACAGTGAAGATAGTAATTGCAAAAAAATGTAGCAGATATATCTCTGGGTGAGTTGATATGTGGGTTTGATAACAAAAAATTGTAGTAATAAAGTAAAAAAAGTAAAGTATAATATGTTTAGATTTATATTAGGAGCAGAACTATATGTGATTTAGGTTGGTTTTAGTAGTGTCTTCTCTCCAAGTTTGTTGTATTATTTTCTTTTAATTGCTGTTGTATTCCAAATTCTTTGAGTTTTGATGCTACTTGGCGTACTTTCTGGTCATTTTGTTAAGAGTTGAAGAAGAGTATTTATTTCTATTATCTCTTTGGGAGTCATAATATGAAATTTATAAATGTTAATAATATATCATTGTAAATAATAAAAAAATAATTTAAATTATTTGTCATTAATATAGATTCAAAATTAATATTTGATCATCAATTGTATTTTCTTCATTAGAAATTTTTTTTATTTTTTTTACTCTTTCACTGATAAATTATATTAATGATTTCTTAAAATATTTATTAGAATTTAAATATTTCTGGAATCTAAATTTAGAATATTTAAATAAACTTGTATTCACATTAATTAGATTAGATAACAGTATTTATAAAATATTATTATTACTATATAGTAAAAATTTAAAATAATTTTACATAAATTATTTAAAATTTTTAATATTTAACATTTTTTTAGAATCAGCAGTTTCTGGCAAAACAATTCAAGTTTTGAAAGTATCCAATGTTGCTACTCAACCAGTAATTCCTGTTCCTGCAGTTCCTGTAAGTTGTCTTGATTAATTTATAAATTATTATTCCATCAGGCCATTCCAACAGAAAATTACAATAAAATTTGAAAATATATTTATAAGAAATAAAATGGTTCAGAAATACAAATATTTCATTTATAATACAGGGTCTTCCAAAATGAATTTACCATTTTAAATGACTGTAATTATGTTAATTATTATCGGAGAAGTACATATGTCAATCAATAGAGTAACCGTAAAGTTTTATCTTCCATCCACATTCAAATGTCTTATTGTTTACCATCTCTATGAAGTGACATAAATTAAAATGACAATTCTGCAACAGAGGAGTTATGTGTGTTCCATATTTCGCAAAGGTGGAATCACTCATCAATGTTCACAGTACAATCTGCGGGAGTTGTAGAATTGTGGCTACTATGAGTGGAGTGACAACAAATATGCTGTAGTGAGTATAAGAGAAATTTTAGTGTCAGTTGGATGTGTGCCATGTGACATGAGGTACATGCATTGGAAAAATGTGAAATTTAGATGATCATCCAGTTTTAATGTACATTACAACATTCTGAGATAATGAATTATTAACATAATTATAATAATTTAAGCTGGTAGCATTTTTTTGGAAGACCATGTAGAAATTGATTTGGATTTTTATGTTAGTGCATTAAATTACTGATTTCAGAATATAAAATATTTTGAATCTATATAGTGAAAAATTTTTTTATAGTGAAATCACTGGAAATTTGGAATCATTAATTAGTTTTAATAGTAACATTAAAATAGGAAGGCATGGTACCTGCTTAGAAGATTGGGTGGACAACCATCAAACCAGGTAGAGAAATATTATTGCAGAACATATATTAAATACATCTAGAGCTCTTAGAGATTGTGAATTCACAACTAAGATCAAAAAATAATTTATGTCCCCCAAAGCTAAATGTACATATGATACTGCATATTCACTACCCTTTGTTACTGGAGAAATCTCCACTGCTTTTAAACAAATAAAAATCGGTAAAGCCCCTGGAAATGATGGTATCCATTCTGAATTCTTGTTACACAGTGGGAAGTACACTAAGCAATGGATGGCCTGTTTCTTTATTGACATCCTACAGGAAGATAATATTCTTCTAGCTATGAAACAAGCTAAAATCATAGCTATTCTGAAACCTGGAAAACCTAATAATAGACCAGAGAGTTATCGACCTATCTCACTCCTGAGTGTGATGTATAAGCTTTTAGAGAGACTTATTTACAACAGACTAAGTAATACAATTTTTGAGAACATTCTGGTTTTTGTTCAAATAGGAGCTGCACAGCCTTCACAACTTTTATAGAGGCTGGATACCAAAGGCAACTAAAAACATCTGCGGTATATATTGATCTCACTGCAGTATTTGACACTGTCTGGTGGCATAGCCTACTTTATAAGCTGCTTTGGGTGATACCCTGCTTGAAAATGTTTAAGATAATTGACAAGATGTTAAATAACTGACTTTCAAGTTATCCTGGAAAATTTAAGAAGTAAGATAAGAAAACTAAATAATGGCCTACCTCAGGGATCTGTCCTGGCACCACTGCTTTTTAGTCTTTACATAATTGATTTGCCTCAAACAAATGCAAGGAAATTTGGATATGCTTATGATTAGGTGATTGCCACAAGACAAGACCTTACAATAACTGAGAAAACCCTGACACAAGATTTATCTACTCTAGGGCAATATTTTTGTCAATGGAGACTCCAGCCAAGTATAACAAAAGCTGAAGCTACATGCTTTCACTTTAATAACTAACTGGCAAGTGAAGATTTAAAGATTTATTTTGAAAACAATCTACTGAAATACAATAAGAATCCAAAATATCTTGGTGTCACTTTAGACAGGACTTTGTCATTTAAAACACATCTGATGAGTCTTACTGCCAAAGTCAAAACCAGAAACAGCATCCTCCAAAAGTTATGCAGAACTACATGGTGCTCTTCAACGTCTACATTATGGATTTTTGCTCTTGGCTTGCTTCTTTTTGCAGCAGAATACTATGCACTGGTTTGGATGAACAGTGCTCACATTAAAAAATTATACGCCTAATTAAACATACCTTGCACATCATTATGGATACTATTAAATCTACTCCTATTTATTGGTTACCTATTTTGAGTCATATCCCCCCACCTGTACTTCTAAGGGATGATGCTCTGTTCAAGGTACATAGGAAAATACTGATCAATCCACAATTTCTGGTTCACCAGGATATCGATGACCTCAACATAAATAGACTTAGATTGAGACATCCCCCCTCTCTTAAGAGCTAAGTCCCTGAATTCTAGCAATTTCAAACATATTGAATCGTGGGAAAAGCTATGGGCTGATGTCTCTCCAATGGAAAGTGAACAACTCCCCTGTATTACAAAGTAACCATCTAACTTTGAATTACCCAGGTATTCTTGGAGTGTGTTGAATAGGATTTTGACAAAACGTGGGATATGCAGAGACAAACTTTTTAAATTGGAAAAGGTTGCATCCCCACAGTGCGATTGTGGTGCAGAAAGACAACCTATACAATATATTTTGGAAGATTGTTTAATGAGATCCTATCTGGGAGAACTGAGTGATTTCCTGGTTGTGACTGAAAGTGCTTTGAACTATGCTTTTGATTTGGATTTACATTTGTGATTTGCTTTCTATTCTGTCTACTAACTAGATGTGTAGCTATATGCTAAATAAATAAATACTGGAGATTTGGAATCATTAATTAGTTTTAATAGTGACATTAAATTTGATCAATATTATTATATAAATAATAATAACCATTATGGAATTTATTAACACTGTAATGCAAATGTAAGAATGAGATAAATAGTAAACAGATTAATATAAACAGATTAAGAAGAAATAGCAAATATATTATTCAAGTATTAAGCATTATTATTAATAAGAATTAGCAGTAACTTTATAAATGGGTAATCTCTAAAATATTAATTGTTATGAAATAAAGAATAATTATATTAATGTTGGATATCAAATATAGAACTATTATATATGGAATAAAATAATGTGAAAGGAAAGCCTATATTTATAGGTTATTAATGAGGCATGAAAGCTGTAATTAAGTATCAGAATATTGTAAATGAATAGAATATTATTCATGAAGAAGCTGATTTTAGTTTTTTAATGTTGTTTAATAATAATTTGAAAGATTTATTTACAGAATTTGAATTTTTTTACATTTTCTTTAAATTAAAGGTTTCAAATGTATAATATAAATTCAACTATAAGATTTTAAATTATTTTATTATACATATAATATGTAAAGACATATAAAGAAATATATAAAGAATTGATTTTAACAAATAGTTGTATAATAAAAATGCATTAGTATTTTAATCTGTATATTATGTTAGAAAAAATATTTATTTTTACAACTATGTTAATTTTAATGAAATATATGTTTGGTAAAAACAATAATATAAATTTCGATTATCAAAAGATCTAAAATCAGAGTAGATATGATTGAGTGAATCATTTAACATCTGCAGACTATTACCTGCAATGACTCTTATATTACAGTGCATTGTTCAGTTTATTGCTATGATTAAAAATATTTGATTTTTTAAAATAATATATAATTAAATATATATTAAATAGTAGTTAGTTATTTAAATATATAGTAAGAAAAGTTCATTAGTGAATATATAAATATACATACATGTAATTATATTCAATAAAGCCTGCTTTTTTATTTTACTTATTAAAATAATAATTAATAATTAGGCTGATGATGTGCATACAATTACTGTTACTCTTTCTGTCATAAATCAAAACAGGTGTGTTAGAAAGCTCAACTTAAAAATCAGTAATAATGATGTAATTTCAACAAAATGTTCCCAGTCTCATCACATCTATCAGTAATGAGCTCAACATACTTACAACACACTCGTTACAAATGAAAACTGTTGAAATATGTTAAAGATACTGTGGAAAAATTTTAGTTTGTTAACAATGATAATGCAAACTGATTAAAAACAACAACAATTATATAACTAACATATCTACAAAATTGAAAAATGGTAAATTATTTAAAATTTTATAGGTAGAATAATTACAGAAATAATTTAATCTAAATTAAATTATGTTTATTCATTTTTACTTGTTTAAAGTTTGTGGCAGAGTATTATTGTCAAAGTTATTTAAAAAACCAAATATTTTCTAATGATACAACAGCAGAAATTGTGAATTTTGTAAGCTTAATGTGTTTTACTTGATATCAGTCTTCGTTCTAGTTACAGTTTTCTCTCAACAAATATTTCCTTGAAACTGCTTAATGTCTTCATGTCCTACTAAACTAATTAGCAGTGACTTGCAGTTGAGCTTTGGAACATACCCAAGTTTTAGCTTGCACATTTTGGAAAGAGCATGCATTAACAGGTCTAACCATGTAATAAATTTACTTCTTATGTTAAAATACAGTGTGTATACGTGCAATCTGATTATTTGATTGGCACACTGTATACATGTAAAATAAATTTTAAACATTGAAAAATTGATGCATTTCCTTAATAAAGAAATAAAATTTAAATTTTATTATTTTTTTAAAAAAGGTAAAATTAGTTACGTCACTACCTCAGCAACAAACTAAAGCTTCAGTTGCGAATGAAAATTCAGAGAATATTGGAGAACTGGTTGCAGATGATACTTTAATATCATTTAAAGATATTCCTGAAGTTAAAGGTGGAAATAAAGATTTCAGTATGCATACTATTTTATCATTAAGGCCAAAAACGATAAATGTATCTGATGATCTTTTAAACATTGAAAAACAAATAGTTGGTAAGTTAATACTTTCTTATTGTTACTTAATTTTCCTTGTATGTGTAAAGAGAATACATAAGAAGACACTATTGTCTGCTTTACTGAATTTTTTAAAGTTTTGTAAATTTAAAAAATTTATTTGTCCTTGCAATTTTTATTAAATTGAAGACAAGCTGTTTTCCCAAGTACAAAAACAATAAATAAGAGAATATTTCAAATACAAATGTAAAAGAATTTAATTTTATTTGCATTTTCTTATCAGTATCATATGAGCTTATTGCATGCAGTACAATATTTTAATTATAGTCAAAACCCAAATTCTTAAAAAAAAAAAAAATAGGAATCTTGTATGTAGATATAAAAAGTAAAATATAAGCCAAATTGGGTGGCATTCAGAATTCCAAAAAAGTTAATAAGAGACTCACTGGTGAATTGTTCCTTATGCTGTATATACAGTAAGGTAAGGATGCCGAATATGAGATACCATTTTTATTTTTGACTATAAAAAAATAACTATTACACTTGGAGCTTTACAAATTACAATTTTGAATAGGGAATTTAATATATTTAACAATATAATTGCTATTTAGTCCTAAGCATAATACATTTTTAGTTATATTAGATAAAATGAAAAAAGTCCGAAATCACGTCTTAGGTAAATGGTCTCCTATTAAGAGATACTAGGGGTACCCCAGATTCTGGACAGTCTTGACCCATCCAGATTCGATCCCGGGTCCCCCAGAGCGGTAGGCTATCACCGTGACCTCTTGGCCATCCGGCCTTTTCTGGGGTATCCTTAGGAACACCAAATTGTTTTGATGCGTTTAAGTAACCTATTTGGTTGCTCCGTACTGCATCCACGGCTCGTATCATGGCACTGTGGTGCCAGGTTTTCCTTTTAATTGGGGCCATCTAAAATATATAAAAAAGAACTTAAACTAATACGTATACTTTCATTTCATATATGAAATGAGATATCTCATATTAGGAACCCTCATGTGTCTCATATTGGGAACACATTCAAATTTTACAAAACGGCTGCCTACTTTTTTTGCTGACAAAGAAAGCAATAGTACTGCACTAATGTCATGAAATTGACCGTATAATTGATACAATGAATGTAAATTAAAAGAATTTAGCGTAATAATAACGTTGTTACATACCTCGTAAACATTTAATGTCAAAAAATTTGTTTTGTGCTTTTGTGAAAATCTGCACCCCCACGATCTAACAGCACCTCTGGCCAGCGTGCACTGACACACGTTTGGAGCTATTGCCAGGACACTTCGAAAAGCACTAGAGCCAAATAGTTGCCGATAATAGTTTGGCCAAAACCTTGGTATCTCATATTTGGCGCCTATCTCTTAATAGGCATCTTTACCTTATAGTTGTTTTGAACTTTCCAGTCAGTCTTGCTGATAGACAGAGACACTATAAAACTCCACCATGCCACATTGTGGCAGGCGTGCTGCGGGTTGGCCATCCATGATATATTGATTTTGTCATTATTACTTAAAAATTTTAATATTTTTCAATGTTTTAGAGATTTATTGTATGCAATTCTGCTCATATTTAACAAATCTGAAGACTTTACTCTTAATTTTAGTACCATACTCGTATTACAAATATAATTTTGTTGTTTGAACTTTAGGTAATCAATATTAATTAAAAAGATACTAAAAGATTGTTGTTTATTTTTCCTATGGTATACCATGCTTTAACTACATTTTAAATGGAAATTTTATTAATCCAATAATTTAATTTTATTATACATAGTATGTTATCAAAATAAAATTTAAGTAAATTTACTTAATAAAAATGATTTTTTTCAGCAAATAAATTATTTGAAAATGGATTTGTTGATACACCTATACATTGGTTACTGAAAATGAGGATATTTCCTTCACAACCATTATGTCGAATTTGCGCCATGGGTTTCATGCAGCTAACACCTGATCCATCTGCTCTTGATGGATATAAATGGCTGTGTCGTAATCCTAGGTAAGTTGCAAAAGAAAGAAATAATTGACATTAAATACATATATAGTTACAAATAGAATTTAATAAATTCTTTTTATTAATTAATTTTTTTACAACTTTTTTTATTACTGGATTAAGAAATGTAAAATATAGGTGTGAATAACTCCTTTACTAACTGATTTGAATATAATAAACATTTATAAATTGGAAGGTTTATATTCAAAGTCCACATAATATATTAATGTATAAAAGCTGTTGTTCGTGTGTGTGAATTCCTTATAACTCTTGGAATTTTTCTCTAATTCTGATGAAATTTTGGTTATATTCATTTTATGTTCTGATAGAAAGTATAGGCTACTTATTTTGTGGAAATATTAGCTATAGAATAAACATTTTATTGATTCTGGATTTTTTGTGATTGCACTTATGTTGCAGTGACGTCAGTGACTTCATTTAGTTCATGCTTGATGACAAAATTTCCCTTAAGTTGCATTTTAAAATATTTTGGCAAATGGCATATTTTAAATTTACTTCATTAAATTCAAACATTTAAAAAAGATAGCTATATAGTGTCACTTCTATAACAGATTTTTAAAAACTTCATTCCATTGTGACCATGTGACGTTCTATTATCCAATCGGGAGTAACAATCTAACAAATTCATTATTTAGAAAATGTTATCACTCATCTAACTAATATATATACAATTTATCTTTGTTTTATCAACATGAAATTAAAGACTTGCTATTTTGTGCTTAAAATGTTTAGATAAAAGCATAAGAGTAAAATTGATTGGGTAATTTCTAGGTCTAAAAGAATAACAACTGAGACTGTGAAGGTCATGAAGTCTGACTTGAGCAACATCGAGTAAGAATGGCTTTGTCAAGGGCCTTATTTTGTAGAAATATTAGCAACTTTTTTGAATTTCTTGAAATCTTACTCTTCTCAATTCTTCAATCTCTACTTTCTCATAAAAAGTATTCTGTCATGCTTGGTGGGGAAATTTCTAGTATTATATAAATATACATATTATGTTATAGTATTGTGAGATAATAGTCTTTATACCAGGGATGGCCAACACATAGGGATGGACAACACAGTCAATGTGGTTGACTGGTCGACCACAAATGTTTTGAAAGTAGCCCGCAAAGCTAAAGTTGAACAATTTGCTTTCACTTAAATTAATGTTTAAAAATCTTAATTCGATAATTTATTCTTAAAATAATAGACTGTCTGTTCAACGTACTCATACTGTTTGTATTTATCCCAATGAACAATGCAAATGAATGTTAATGCATGCGCATATAAAAATCCTAAAATTATTTGCCCATATTCATAGTTGCCCACAGACTATATTTTACCAAAAAAGTAGCCCCTAAGGGATAAAAGTTTAGCCACACCTGCTTTATACCATAGTGTTATCTTATCATTGTTATGTACCATTTAATATAATATAATATAATCTTGGTGACCAAACTGTAGCTCTGCTAGGCCTATATTACATGACTATTCCTATATACATCTATATTATAAAATATTTAACAGATAAATATTTAGATGTCAATTTTAGAAGATAGTACATATATGTGAATTTTCAGTAGTATTAAATTTTATAAATACAATATATTCATGCTTATAACTCATGAATTATCTGTTTAAAAGACAGTTTGAAAAGGGATTGATTTAGATTGTAATTATGATTAATATATATGTTCCGTAGGTATGGGTATACACCGGGAAGATTATGGGACGATTTTATTTTTGTTCTAGCAATTTTCTATGGATTATAAGCACAGAAATATGGAATTGTGCAACATGTTATGCTATTATTATAGAAAATTGGGAATATATGCTGGGTGGATTTTATAAGTCAATGCCTTTGACCAATCAGATGAAGACATGACAGATTTTAATGTTGTTGCATTTTAGTTTTCGTTTGAACAATTAAATTAAAACAAAAAACTGTGCACTGTAAGTTGTTTGGAATTTTTTAAATATTTTAAAGATATAATTTTTTGTGTGTTTTATCTATTTTAAATTCAATTATAGTTTTATAACAGTTATCATCTGTTCTCTGACTAGCTTAATAAAGATTGTTTTTTCTTTTTTTTTTTGTTCAAACATTGTTATTTACACTGCATCAATGTAAATTTTCCAAGGAATGTAACTTCCACTAATGAAGGATATACAGTAATTATTGTCTGAATCATTTTAAAAAAAAGTTTAGAATGTACACTTTGATAAGCACATATTAATTATAGACGAGAAAGATTACTGCAGTAATCTTATTATGAATTCTTTGCAGTTATGATTAATATCAATTTTGAAAACAAGTGTAACTTCAGTTTATTTTTTGTATTAATAGATTAATAGTTAATTCAGTTAAATTTTTTATAATCATTTATTGATAATTTAATAATTTATCAAAAATTAAAACACGATTCATTGTAACTCACTGTTAAATAAAATTAATGCTAGGTTTGTTTTTTGTCTGTTGTATTTTAATAGGAAATTATAATAAATTAATTTTAAATAATATAATTAAATAATAAATGTAATCAAACAATAAGACCAGATTAACTATTGGGTTAGTTCTAGTCCAGTCATTAATCCAGTCTTGTCATTTGATAATTTCAATAGTTTTGGCTTGATTGTCTATAAGTACATAAAATAAAATAAAAAATATTATATAGGAGAATTTTCAAACATGAATATATCTGTTTGTTTAGATGCTCAAGATTGAGTCCCGTGCGACGTCTTTTGTTCTTCGACAGATTTGGAATTCCATTAGGAAAACTGTTCGCATTGACTTATCATTGGGCAGTGCAGTCATCGATAGATTTAGTATTGAAAGAAGTCAACATGGATATTTATCGATTGCGAACCGTGTGGAGAGCAATTCAAGAAGTTTGTGCGAGAGCCGTAGCACTAAAGGCTGATAAATTAGGAGGAGAAGATAACAAAGTAGAAGTAGGTGCTGTACGTATTGGAAGATTGATTGTTTTAGGTGCATTGGATAAAAAAACTAGAGCGACGAGACTGAAAGCTTTTCCCTCTGGCGTCGGTTGGAAGTCGGCTATTTTGGTAAAAACACTTGAACCTTGGTTACTTCAAGGCACACACATTATATCAAATATTTCTTGTCTGAAATGTTTAAATAATAAAGGTTTTCATCATACTTTTTCAAATTTTTCAAATAAGTGTACTAATCAATCATCGGCACAGAATGTTGATAATGTTAGTGGTGTTATTAAATATTTAATGACAAAGTTGACTGATGCATTTGGTTCATATGCTGTGGATCAATTAAGACTTATAAATTTACAAGGTTATCTCGATGAACTACAGTGGAGAGAGAGATTTGGAAAAACACTGAATTTAAGTTTTTGGAATATTTTTGAACATATTATAGAACAAAGTGGACATAAGTGTGAGTATTTATTGTATTTAAATATATATTTAAAAACATTTTACTTACAGATAGTTAAATATTTAATTTTTAAAGATATACAGAAGTATATTCAGGATATAATACTGATGTTTATTATTTTGGATACTATTTTGGCAATTACTATCAATCAATAATTACACAATATACCAATAGGTTGAGAGTAATTAATTTTCAATAATTATTTTGTAAGTTATATAGTTATCAAATTTCTACATTACATTCTGAATAAATAAATGTTGTATAACAGGAATAAATTAAATTATTTCTAAAAATATGTAATATATTTTTGCCATTGTTGGAGAGAATTGTATTGTGAAGTAATCAAAAGTTGTTTAAATTCATCTGATGATAACTGAAAATTTAATTTAATGACTTCAATAATTATTAAGTTAGTTTAATTAGGAAGAAAATCATATCTTGCTTTTCTTTTAAAAAATATTAATAAATTTGTATTTAACAATCTTCTGACTTATAATTATAATACAGTATTTAAAGTATGGTGCATCAGACAGTGTTTTTTTTTTTATATCAGTTTAATTACTGAAGTAAAGAATAATTATTTCTTTTTAAACTCAAGTCTTCTATAGTTTATTTAAAGCCAGTTATTTAATTAAGATAATAAAGAAAGGGCAAATATCAAAGATTAATATAGAGCTTTAAACATTGTGTTATGAACAGTCTAGAAATATTTCAAATATGTCTAGACTGTCTAGGATGTCATTTTTCCTTTTCCATCTTTATGAATTATTAAAAATTGTTCAACTTTTAAGAAAGCTACAAGGAATATAATTAACCTAAACTGATAACTATACAGGTATACCTCGCCTTATGTCGGTAATTGGTTCCAGGAGAGACGGCTTAAGTCGAAAAAAAACGTAAGTTTTATTTACTTGTCTCCGAATTTACTCATCACTAGGCTAAACCACAAATACCATTCCCAGTTCTGTATTTTATTTATAAATGTATTTTTAATAATATATGGTTAATAAGAATCTATTTTAAGCTTACAAACAAATAAATTTTAGTTTTTAATATACTACAGAAAAAAGTAATCTAAATTTACGAATTCATGTATGTACAGTACATACTTGTAAATGTACTGTACATGTTTACAATTTGGCGATGTTTACTGTATATCCTGGACTCTTTATTTATGAATGTCATTTGTTCTAAGACATCATAAAATAAGATGATTTTGTAAGATTAAATTTCAAACACAGTTATTAAAATTATTTTGCCACAGTAGAAAATAAACTAATTTATATTAAATTTATCAAGATCAAGTGGTGCTGACAATGACGCCAAACGGTAGATATTGGAGCTACTGCGGAAAACACCAATATTGAACACTTAAAGATTGCTAAATAAGATGACAACACAGAAACACAGATGTTTTCATGTTTTGTTCTCTAGGATTTATGATGATTGTATTAACATTTACTGTAAATGTACATATTTTAATATGATTTTAGTGCTTTAATGCTTTTCTAGTGATATTACGACTTCAACATTTATGGTGGATGGACATAAAGTCGGATAAAATGACTTAAACTTGATTTTTATTTTTCCATATATTTTTTTGACAAATGACATATAATCGAAAATGACGTAACTCGAGGTATACTTGTATATAAAAAAGAGAATTTTTTTTCAGAATATCAATGCAATATTTTTCAATCAATGCAAGTATTTGTTTTGAATGATATAATATTTGGAATATTTACAATATCTATATACAAAAGTTTATGTTTTTTAAGTAAGATAACTGAAGTTTAAAATTTAAATTATGAAGTATTCTAGTGTAATTTATATTTATATTTATCATAGTTTAATGTAGTAATTACTCATAATTATAATCATGGCTATTATTTGGTTGGTATGTGCTGATATGCATTACTGGCAAATAACATAAAAAGTATTGACAGCTGTTACGTAGTACCAGAAGTAGCTCAGGATGAAAAATCTTACATGTTCAGATGGGAAGTCTAGTGACTGACACAATAAAAATGAATGAAGTGAATTGGGCCACACTATTGGCCTGAACAAATACCATGGGCCAAATGAGGTCAATGTAAAAAGCTAGAGGGTTGGATACTCTTCCTTTTGTCGGAAACCATCTTTTGATTGTGGATAATACTTTCTGGAAATTGTTTATCACTGCTTTGTTCTTGTCTATGCTAATGATGATTGTTTGAATGGGAAAGGTAAAAATATGGTTAGTAAAAGAGTACCATTTAGCAATTGATGCCAAATGCAAAAAAAGAAATAGGGAAGAAAGTGCAGATGGAGATATATAAAACATTCAGAATATACTATAAATGTAAGTGAACCTTTAAAGAATTAAAAATAAATACACTGTTAAATTTTTGTTAAAACTAAATTTTAGTTTTAATCACCATACATGCATACTGGCAGTATATTTTTTTTTAGAAAGAGAGCACTGATTATAAATAAAGTACAGTGGAACCTCTATATTCGTCATTAATCTATTCCTTAGGACCTAACGAATATGGAGTATGACAAATATAGAAACAATTTTTCTCATAATAAATAACTGATATTCAATTAATCTGTTCCCATTCTGAAAAAAAAGGTAAAAGAATAAAAATTATGTTTGTAAAACTTTACTGTATTTATTTAGTACAATAAAGATATAGTGATAGAAGAGGAAGAACAGTATTATTAATATAGTATTATTGTTTAGAAGAAGACATATTAATTAAAACACTCGTTTCCAATTATGATCATGAGGTCTGTTTTGCCGATGATTCAATAGCACTCGATTTAATAAAGAAGTTGTACAGTTTTGTGTGTTTTTGGCTACTTTTTAAAACTTTTCTGAAGTAGGCAATTACATTATCATTGAATGTATTTGTAATTTGGTTGATTATAGCAACATTTGGGTGTCACTTTGAAGTGATTGGAACTTGGTTTCTCGCATTGATTATTTTTCAATAACTCAACAACACACACAACGACCACACAGAGTAGACTGATTAACTACAGCTAGCTAACACGGCTAGCTGATTGGCATGGGTGTGCAATTTAGTGTCACTTCCAGTGTTGGGAATGATGGAGAATACAGAAAATACAGACAAATATGGAAAAATAAAAAAGTCATCAAAATGTGATGAATATTGAATATTACGAATATAGAGGTTCCACTGTATTGTTAATTACTTTCTTCATTAATATGGATCAGGGCTTCTTAAAGTTTTTCATTTGTGACTCCACTTTTACCCAAGTAAACTTCATGCAACCCATTGTATATAGATAAGTTATATAAAATCACTTACTGATAAATCACAAAACAAGTTATTTCAAAACAGTTCACATCTGTGTATATATATATATTTATATACAGTATATACACATTATTTATTAAAGATATAAGCAAATTTTCATACTAATGAGATGATGTGCTTGTTTATTTTTATGTAAAGATTTAAATCTTGGCTGAATATTTGATATTTGATGCAGAAAATCTTCAATGTTTTTCAGAGTTGATTCACATTTAGATTCTACAATTATCAATGCCAAAAACAGTGCTTTGCATAAATATTTAAAACAAAATTGTACTGTTGTCAAATTTTCATGATCCCACATTCAGTTATGCAACCTTCTTTGGATTGTACTACCAATTTAAGAAGCCCAGTTTAAGTTATAGATAGGTTACATTGTATTATAATTTAAGAAATTTTCAGACTGTTATTTCAGTGTTTTCAAATAAAAAAAGAAAAACATAATGCACATTGTAGTATATTATTATTCATATGCAAATGTATAATTAAATAATTATAATATTGCAGTTCAGTTTAGAGAGAATGCAAGTGTAGAGCAACAGTTTCAACCAGAGCAAACTAAAACAGATAAAATATCAACCTCTAAACCCAATAAAACTGCTACTACTAAAAGTAAGTAAAATCATTTGTAACGTAATATAGAATAGTTAATATATTTTAGCTTAATTTTAATTAATATATTCTATTTTCCATTTTTGCAAATAAAGTATGATTTAAACAGAAATATTGAGAGTAAACAAAATGCCTATAGTTAGACCATTTCAGATTCTTAGTTTTTATTTGTATCAAAAAATTAAATAATATTTTTGTAGAATCATAGTCTGACTTAATTCTTAATTTGTACTTGCATGTCAGTATATTCATTTATCTATTTAATATATATAATATATATATTTAAAACTGTTCTGTAAGATCCATTTTTTCAGATATGTGAATAACATGTGTTGGAGATTGTTTGTCAATACTAAACTTACATACGTGTATGCTTGAAAGGGCCGCTACTGCTTCACGGTGGTAATCTGGACCTCCACTGCTACATGATCTAGATCACTAGGGCTTATGTACTGTAATGGTTCTATGATTCTTGTATGTGGGACTCTTGTGCCTGACAATCATTGATTTGCCCACAAAGAGAACAATTTGAAGAGTTGATGTCAAGTGATTAGGTGGACCAAGAAATGGGACCCCAGTGATCTAGACTGTGTGGCAGTGGAGGTCGAAATGCTTTAAAGGCTTGTAAGAATTAACATTATTTCAATACAGTCGAACCTCCCATTACAACAATAAACCCCAGTACAATGACAGAACTTCTGCAGTCCCGGCCAAAGTCCTATAAAAATACTATTATTTATCACTTGCTACATTGATAGTCCCCTTCGTTGGTATCGCTACCTTGATGTGGTTCAAAGGAAAATGAAATGGCTCAGGTCCAGACTACAAGCCAGATCATAGTGATTGGAAGGTTGTAGCAGATGCAATGCAGAAGGCAAGGGGAAACCACTGCATTACCCTCCCGAATATAAATACAAATACCATGAACTTGACAAAACAAATTATGGCCCTTAGTCTCTGTCAGACCTCAAATGGTCGGAGTGCTAAGAATCTGTGGAAAGACCAATATTGGTACTTGAAATGTGAGGAGTCTATATCAAAAAGGTAAGCTACTTAATGCCATAAAGGAGATGAAAGAATACAATCTTGACATTCTTGGAATTAGCAAAGTGAGATGGATTAATTCTGGTAAAATAAAAGTCAGAAACCATACTGTTTGTCATTCAGGAGTTAACACACACAGTAATGGAGTGGCTGTTATAGTGAATGAAAAATTTACTAACACAGTGGAGGGGTTCAGAGCACACTCTGACAGAGTAATAGCTGTGAAACTCAACATGAAACGCTTTAAGCTTAATACAGTTCATGTGTCTACAATGAATGCAAATGACCAAGACATAGAATAATTTTTTGAAGAAATAGTGGTTTCCAGTGCATTTTCTAAGTCACAAGAAATCACCATTATAATGAATGCAAAAGTGGGTAAGGGTAGAGAGTTGGAGATTGTAGGACCATTTGGTTTAGGGGAAAGGAGTGAAAGAGGAGACAGACTAGTGGAATTTTGTAGTAAATACAATCTTTCAATAGCAAATACCTGGTGTGATTAACCAAAAAGAAGACTATACACATGGAAAGTGCCTTCTGATAACACTGATAACATAATCAGAAATCAAATAGACTACATCATGGTTAACCTAAAATTCAAGAACCTGACCACTAAAACCAAACTTACCCATGCGTGGATTGCAGCTCTGACCACAACTTGTTAGTAAGCAATCTCAATTTAAAACTAAAAATAACTAAGAAAAAAAGCCCTAAACAAAAAACATTAGATATGAATGTTCCCATCTTTGTGTGCTTACTGGATTATGAAAAAGCATTCGATAAGATACAGCACGACAAATTACTTGAAATACTTTGCAATATAGGACTAGACAGAAGAGACATTAAGATCATGAAAGATGCATATTGGAATCAGAAAACAAAGGTTAGATTGTAAAATGAAGAATTGGAATGGATTGAAGTGAAAAGAGGGGTTAGATAGGGCTGTGTACTTTCACCAATCCTATATACAAGGTCTGTTCAAAAAGTATCGGACCTTTGGTCGGCAAAAATAAATTTATTGACTTTGAGGTACAAAACTATAATCCCCTTCAAAGTGGTCTCCTTGGTAATGTATATACTTCTCCCAGCGTTCCTGCCATTGCTGGAAACACTGCTAGAACGCATCTTTTGGAATGGCCATCAGCCGGTCCGTCGCATTCCGCACGATGTCTTCTCTCGACTAAAATCGGGTTTCTTTTAGCGGCATTTTCAGCTTGGGAAATAGCCAAAGGTCCCACGGAGCCATGTGGGGAGAGTACGGAGCATGACGAACCACAGGAGTATTGTGTTTGGCGACGAAAGCCCGAAACAGATGCGCAGAATGGGCGGATGCGTTATCACGATGGAGCTGCCAAGTTTTGATCGACCACAGATCCGGTCGTTTGCGTCGCACTGTATCGGAAAGACGACGAAGGACCTCCTGGTAGTACTCCTTTGCGATGGTTTGGCCTTGTGGTGCGTACTCACGACACACCACCCCACGAGAGTCGAAAAAACTGTCAACATGACCTTTGATATTGCTGCGGACCTGCCGCGCTTTTTTTGGCCTCGAGGATCGTCCCCGAAAGCCTGCTGAATCTTGCGAATGGTTTACACTCGGGTATCGCCAAGGTTTTTGGCAAAATTTGATGTAATATCGCTGCTCACGTTGTTCAGTCATTTTCCAGCTTAGTGGAATCCGACGAGAGCGCACTACATGACCTCACTCATAGGCCGATTGCCAACGACTGACGCTTCCTGCAGGCGGGAAAAAATTCAGGGCTGTGCATGACTGTCCCCTCCACAACTCCACCGAAGGAGGTCTCTCGCGCATCATTCTTTTACGCGAAAAAAACAAAGGTCCGATACTTTTTGAACAGACCTTGTAATATGTATGCTGAGTACATAATGCAGGAGGCTTTGGAAGACCGAACAGAAGGTGTAAAGATTAATGGAATAATCATCAACAATCTCAGATATGTGGATGATACAGTCATTCTCGCTGCATCAGAAAAAGAATTACAAATATTGTTAAACAAACTAGTATCAAAAAGTTAAGAAATGGGACTCACAATAAATACAAAGAAGACTATGACAATGTACTGTACATAAGTAAAGATAGGCACACAATAAAGCTGAAATGCAGAAGGGAAAACCTAGAATAAGTAGATAGCTTCTGCTACTTAGGAAAAAGATTTTATTCAAACAGCAATTTAACAAAGGAAATTAGAAGCTGAATTGGATAGGCAAAAGACAAGTTTAACCAGATGAAAAACATTTTGTGTGAAAAGAAATTAAAGCTTCAATTAAGACTAAAAATGCTAAAATGCTACAATTGGCCCATTTTGCTTTACGGATGTGAGACATAGTCACTATGGAAAGATATGGAGAGGAAAATTGAGGCTTTTGAGATGTGGGCAATTAGAAGAATGTTGAAGATCAAGTGGACAAGCATGACCACTAATGAAAGAGTTTTACAGATGGCAGATACAAAAAGAGAATTAGTAAATATTATTAAGAAGAGAGAACTAGCATACTGTGGACACACATTGAGAGAAGAGAAATATGAAATCCCCAAACTCACATTAGAAGGCAAAATTGATGGAAAAAGATCAAGGGGAAGAAAATAGGGCTGGATGGATGACATCAAGGAATGGATGGGAATGGATACGGACAAAATTATTCATAAAAGTTACAAAAGAGAACAGTGGTATTTGCTGGCTGCCAACCTCCCTTAGGAGAAGGCACAAACAGAAGAAGACAATGATAGTAAAAACTCTGATACAATGATACAATTATTGGGATGTGTTAATGCAACCTGTTGCTGACTGATGCATGAGCCACATGTTGAAGAACTAGGAGTGCTTGCTTGCTACTTGTGTTACCTACAGATCCTCCCTATGCTCCAGAATGGTTTGTCCACATTAGCTAATTGGTGGCATTTCCATTGTCATCACTATCTCAGTCAATCCTTTTATGAGGAACTGCAAGTGCCAACCAAACATGAAGTGTTTCCTTTTCTTGCCATAAAAGAGCTCTGGGTAGTGGCCAAGAAGAAGAAAATAACAGTACTAGCATTTAGCAAAAGAAAAGAAAAAATGACAAAGCACAGAAACAAATAAATTTAGAAATGAAGTTAGAAACTTTTAAAGATATTGGTAATGCAATGAAACAAATAGAAGTTGCAACAAAGTATTGCTTTGCTCAGTTAACTTCAGCAACATTTTTAAAGAAACAGAAGGAAATCAAATGCAGTGTAGTGGATGGAAATATGGATCCTTCTCGAAAACGTCTGAAGATACACCAATTGCGATGATGTCAACAATGCAACATTCTGTTGGTTTATTGAGATGTGGGCACAGAATGTACCAATAAATGGGCTACTCTTGTGCCAAAAAGCAACACATTTTGCAAAGATGATTGGGCACATGGATTTTAAAGCTATCAACAAACTAGAGAATTTAAAGATCAACTGATCGCTTCAAAGACATGGCATTATCTTCAAATTTGCCTCGGGAAGAAAAATCATTGCCACTTGAAGAAACAAATTTTTGGTGTGAAAAAAAAAATGAAAGAAATCCTTGAAAGGTATCAACCTGACCAGTATCTTAGAATTATTTCTCAAATGGAAACAATTCACAATTCCTGGAATTAAAAATGAACAACTGGTTGCTCTTGATGCAGTTCATTCAGCATTTGTAAACAATAGCTTGAAAAAATAAGCCAAAGCAAAATAACAAATTTTATAAAGACAATATAAAGTTCAAAACAATGTAATACAATTTCCTGATTAATTCAGAACAAATCAGAGAGCATCATTTAAACCTTAGTGATTAATATTTAAACTAATCTTTACTTTCTTAATGATCTCAGTTCTTAAATTTTAAGACATTACTATGACAATATCACCAGTATAACAATACCATATTCCCAGTCCCCAAAATTTCATTGTAGTGAAATTCAACTGTATTAAAGTACTTTGATAAATGTTATTTTTGTAATTATAAATTTAGAAAACTTTTTTTAATAAAAATTTACTTAAAGTTTTATAAGTGAGAAAAGTAAATTGGAATATTTATTTCTTGTAGATGGAACAAGGGAAAAAAAGAAGAGACCAAGAAAGATTCTGAAGATGTCAAGTGACAGTGAGGATTTTAGTTCTGATAAAGAAGAAGCAACTGCAAATAATAATAAAGTTATAAGAGATTCACCAGAATACAAAGATGATTCTGAGAATAATTCAGTTAAAATTTGTAAGTGCAAATTATGTAAAATTGTTTTAAAATATCAATAGTAATTTTGAATCCTATTGTACACAGCACTTTTTTCTCATTTTTTTTTCCTCAGCACATCTAAATTTTAGTGTATTTACTGAAATACTCTATAATTTAAAATGTGCATAGGCTATCTTCAATTACTTTCTGACATAATTCTATCAAAATCATCATACTGTTCACAATTTAGTTTCTACAATATCGTAGAATCTTAATAATTGGAGTAGTTGAAAATTTGTGTTGTAGAGGAGAATATCTGTTAGAAACTAATGATTTTCATTCAGCAGTTTCTCTGTACACTACTTTTGTTTCTCTTAAATATAGAAATAATATTTTGCAACTCAAACACCAACTATATACTGTATTCATTCGGACACAAGAGAAATTTGCCTTGTGTCCGAGTGAATACACTATATAGTTGGTGTTCAAGTTGCAAAACAATTACCGGCACAATTTCATAAGTACTAAATAGAAAAACTAGATTAATCTCCAGAAAAATTTTTAGTTTTTGTTTTGATATTTGTTTTTTATAAATCTAGCAAACTTTTTATGTATTCTACAGTTGCTATTATACATTTATTTCAGAAGGTTTTTCTGAAAATTTTTGTTGTTTTAATTAAAATTTTTGGCATGACTTTTTATATCTTTACTGTCTTTCTCACTTGCATGATTAGTCATTATGGTAAATTTGCTACTATTTGAGAATTAAATTGGTTTATATTAACTATAAATGAAACTCACTGTCAAAAACATAAATCTTCATATTTATAATTTGGAAGAATGGAATTGGTCAGGATATCTTGTTTTTCAGTCTAGAGTGGGTTATGATCTTTGAAAGAAAGCCTGGACCATTTCTATGTTGTTTTTGTAGTCACAGTACACATTCAGACAATCCTTTGTTCATTTGTGAGAATGGAAACTTCATAGAAACATGTTTCCTGTTGAGACTTTTGTTGACACAAAACTCCAAGAAATACCACTGATTTTCCCAATATATTGTCAATAATGTATCAACAATCTTTGAGAATGGCTTCACAGATTTTGTTTACATTTTTAACCATTTAGTTTGTTGAAGCACAATCAGAATATCGAGCATCTTTAACCAATGTTTCACTTCTAAAAAATTTCCAAACTCTTTTAGACTTGATCCATAACTTTATCCTCAAAGGTGTGTGTTTTAAGCTGCTGTTTTGTCCAACAAAAACTTTTATCATCAATTTAAACTGAATATTTAAATTATTATTATTATTATTATTATTATTATTGTAGATTATACAAATTTGAAGCTTATTACATCAATAGAATTGTTTCTGACTTCTATATTATTTTTCAGATCAAGAGGACATTGTAGCTTTAGAAGAATTTTACTATGCGCTTAAAAATTCAAGCAAAAAGTTACTAAAGGCAGAATATAAAGGAAATTTTCAGTTCAAGGTAAATTTAATTTAATTATATAATTATTCTCAAAGGTTTCTTAAGGTAAAAATTTTTATTTTTAATTACTTTTTGGATAATGTGAAATAATAAATTGTTGCAATTTTATTTATCATTTATTTACAGTGTTTGAATAAATTCCTATTGCTAACCTATATTTTATAAGTATAAAATGCTTATTTTTAGTGCCTTATATGCAAGAAAATAGTAGAAAATAATATTAAAGTGATGAAACATATAAATGCACACATTGATAATCAGCGGCAGTGTAAACCAGCTTTAAGTGACCTTACCCAGTGCAAGTACTGCTTTCGAGATTTTGACACACCATTTAGTATGCAATGCCATATAGAATCTGTAAGTTTTTATTTATTATAATTAAATTAATTAAAAGTCCTGTAAAATAGCAAAAAATAATTATTATGTTGTTAAGTATACATTTTCCATTGTTAACTTATGAATTATCATATGTTTGTGATTAAATATTCCATAATAATGTTATAATTGTGTTATAGAACAAGACAATATATAAAATAATCTGATTTACTTAATAACACAAAATCATATTACTGTGTTTTTTCAATTTCTTTTTTAGACTTCTTTTGTCTCCAAAATTGGAGTGTGTATTAGAATCTTAGAATCTGGCACAAAGTTGACTTAATGCAGCTTCATTCACGGTGATTAATCCACAAATACTTCATAAATTTAGAAAACTAAATAATGTATTTTTCAATTTTTGATGTAAACAGCCACATTTATTATGAATGACAAAGACAAGGATATCATCCAATATATTTTATTACAATTCTTAAAGCCTGAAATGTATATGCATTTCAGGTTTTAGCCCCTGTTCAGTATATGCTACACTGATACAATAAACCAAATCAACAACAATATAAAATAAAAGAAACATTCAAACCTCTACATACCATATTTAGTAAAATTTTTATATATAAAATGTTTTTATAACTGATATAAACATAAATAAATGTCAATCCTGTTTAAAAAATTATTTAACTATCTTAAAGTACTCCAGATCATTCTTTACCTAAATCAACAATAGACACAACTGACTGTTACAAAGCTCCTAACATACATTATTTAGTTATTTAAATTTATGAAGTATTTGCGGATTAAACCATAGTTTATGGGATTTAATGCTCATTCATGTTGTTTATTCTTTGCTCCTCTCAGCAGTTTGTGTGTGTTGTCATCAGTACTTGATAATGGATTCAGTCATAAATGAATATATTCAGAAATGTGGACATCATATAGCACTGTGAACATGGCAACAAATGTTTGTCAAAAATGTGTTTATTGTTGTTTAGGTATATTCTTTAATGTATGTTCTTTTTATAACTTTACTAGCAGACCCCACCATGCGTTGTTGTGGCTCAAAATGTATCTATTATAAATGTATAACACTTCCTCCATGGGGGAAATTTTTTGAAAAATCCCTTCTTAGTGTACATTCTCTTGACATACTCTATTAAAATGCAATAAAAAATGCAAAAAACCACATCTAAAATAATATAAATCAGGGCTGTGGAGTCGGAGTTGGTAGATTTTTATGTGACTCCACAGCCCTGGTATAAATAAAAGCAGAGTTCTTCACAGTAAGCTTTAATCCTATCCATCTCCCCCCAGTGGGGGAATTTTGACACGTATATTATATAAAAACATGTGCGTATTCAAATGCAACGTTGTGTCAAAATTTTAAAGGAATTGGTAGGAACAAACGAACATTACATTTTTATTTATATAGGTAGATAGAAGATGATCTGCTTTAGTTCATCCTCACAGAAAAGCAAACTTAGGTTGTTATACTCATTGAGTTAGCTCATCTGTTAGACATAAAAGCCTTAATCCTAGATGATATCTTTTCATTTATGTGAATGTTTAATGGAATAATATACAGCCTATGTCCACCCTGGAGGTCCATTCTAAATATTAGTGAAAGAATTTTTGAAATTGGATGAGTAGTTTCGGAGATTACCTCCTACATCCAAACTTACAAACTTTACCTCTTTATAAAATTAGTGTAGATTTAGCTGCATGTTTGGTGCTATAATGCATACAATACATTTGTAAACTAGTGTTTTTGGATTTTGACATAGGAAAACTAAGTTATGCATTAGAATAAAGAAAACACAATACTAGTCAAAAAGTGAGTATTAGTTTCTGTAATTGTTTTCCACAAAGAAGAAGAAAAATCAAATTTTTCTTTGAATCAAATAGGTTTGAGCCTTGATTCTAAGATAAAAATAAAGTAAAGACTGACTTCTGTTTCTTCCCTACATACTAAATATATAAATGCAGTTATAACATTATTATTGAAAATTAAAAATATAACATGTAGAAAGAGTTATTGTATTGCATACAGCTAGAAATTATTTTTAATTTTTAGGTGCATTTGAAGAAAGATTCATTAGTTTGTCGAATCTGCAATCAAGAATTTGCTCAGTTTAGAAAATTATCAGTTCATATGAAGAATTTTCATGTTAAGTCTGAAATGCCATACCACTGTCATGTTTGCCGTTATCGTTCATCATTTCATCAAGATGTTATTGAGCATTTTCATGAGGTGACATGTTTAAAATATATTAATTTAATTGTTTAAAATTCTGTAACTTATGATTATTATTATTTGATTTCAGACTCATTATGGAACAGATAAAGTACTTTGTCACTATTGCCTAAAAGTTTTTCACATAAAATTTTCTAATGTTGGATTAGGATTCATTCAAAATTATTTCTACCATCTACATAAACATCAATTAAAATCTGCAACAAAAAAATGCACAAGTTGCTGCCTAATTTTTCTCAGTATTCAGGAGTTACGAGAACACAGAACACGTGATCACGTCTCATATAGTGAACAGAAAGGTATTTTAATTTTTTTTATTTCAATGAAACAGTTAAAAACATATATAGGTAACTCTTGATATGTGTGGATCATTGGTTCTGCAAGTATATTATATAGATTGAAACCACATATGTCAATGTTAACAATCAATGAGAGAGAGAATAATTTGTTAATTAGGTCATTAAAAAGTTACCTGTAATCATAATTTTTACACTTATATTTGTTTAGGTTAAGTAAAAACATAGAAAATGAAGAAATAAAATTAAAAAAATACATATTTATTGAAGAATTATTAATTAAATATTTTATATAAAGTACAGTGTATTTGTACAAAAAAATTAAAATTTTTAATTGATCTTTAATTTTATTTTTGAGAGAGTTTAGACTAACTGCTACAGTAATCCAAAAAAGAAAATATGACAAAAATTTTACACTCCTCAAAAGTGAAATTGCAACACTAAGAAGGAATTGGTGTATCTGTGCAAAAAATTGGTCAGCCAAAGAAGCTAATTGAACTGTTGAAAGTGAAATTGATGTAATTTTTTCTAAAAAAACTACATTGTTGCTGACTTTCAGTTCCCGACAGCATTATTTACATATTATAAAGAAATATTAACTGTATGTTACTTAGCCACAGGTAAAAGCACATAACAATAAATCCATAGTAATTTTTAGATCTAAATTTCTCAATAATCACCACTTACACTTTCAATAGAGCATATATAAATGATGAGAGTTCTGTAGTGAAGGAACAAGTGCCACTTTGCTGAACAGTCTTTAAATAGGGATAGGCATACATTTAGTTTATATATTTGAAGCAGGGAGGTTACATACTGTTATCAGAATATAGTCACATTCCAGCCAAGGAATCCATATGATACAACAGCTTCCTATCCCACAATATCTTGAACAGTTTCGAGGCCACTTGGACACAGCTTAAAATGCTGTTTCTCAAAACACTATCAACCATCTCATCATCAGCATGCCACAATGTTTACTGAGAATATATGTGAAAACTCATAGCTCTCCTTCTCCTGTCTTGTTTTTGTGCATTTCCACATTTACACCTAACAGTTGTATCTTGAAAATTGCATTCGTATCTTTCCATTCTTCTTGGTGTTGTGATTTCAGTTTTGATCAGTGTAAAAACAAAAGAATATATTTGTGAAATGTTGTCTATACTGTTGCTGCTTTCTGTTATTCTTTGTAGAGTTTTCTGTAAACGCTGAAGAATTAAAACAGAAATGTTTACAGAAATTACACTGAATGTGGAAATAGAAATTAAACTATCCAAATAACAGCACTGTATTAATAAAACTAAGCTTTACTATATTTTGCTAATTAACAGTGAGTGGAAATGGGAAGAATGGTTTGGTTTAGTGTGCTAGCTTTGAAGTGTTGGAAAAGTTCAATATGGCCAAGTCAATAATATTTATATAGCTAATTTTTTTAAATATATATACAGTTAACATTCAATGTATGTGGTTATAATTAGTGCGAGTCTGTTATGAGGAAAAAATATTGCCAACTATTGACATGGCATTTCCTCATAACAGACTTGCACTAATTATAACCACATACATTGAGTGTTAACTGTATATATATAAAAAAAAAATTAGCTATATAAATAAATGTATAAATATTATCATAAAAATTTTTTTATGAATTGAAATTCTTATTTATGTGAACAGTTTAAAATATTTAGTTTTAAAATAGGATTGCTAAAGGTCTTTTTTTTTTATGTTGACGTGAACAGGTTTGGAGAAAAATAGTCTGTTACCCAATAACTGAATTGACTTACTAAATATATTTAGTTTCTGGTATCTGTCAATTGGCAGGATTTCATAGCAAAATATGCTTAAAGATCAATTGAAAAATAAGAAAATTCTCTGAAAATAGGTGGTTCTACATATGAAAAAGTTTAATTTTGACACATGAAATCGTTTGAGAGAGATACAGGGTGTCCCAAAAGTTTGGATCTATAATCATAGATGTATTTGAGCATTCATTATAATAAAACTTTAAATTTGAATATCTTGGACACTTGTTTAATGTTCTTGTATTCAGCATAAACACATTTCTTATTGTAGTAGAAGTGATTTTCTTACGTGTAGAGGAGATTACCTCCTTTAGTGCAATTATTATTACCACTCAATATTTTTTTTTGGGATTATCTGGAGACTTAAGAGGCCTGTTGGTAGTTTCAAAGCCATCTTGGATCTCAAATGAAAAAAAAAATTATTTTCATAAAGAGGAAAAAAATGTCTATGGTCCAGATTTTTGGGACACACTGTATATATGTATATAGTATCATTGAAGCTATCAAAAATATATATTAAATAATTACTTTTTATAAATATATTTTTATGTAGATATATCTCATACTGCTAAATTAGTTGATTAATTTTAATAAATTACAAATTAAATCAGATGTTATTCAACAAGTTATTTACTGAATTTCTCTTATATGAATTATAAAGCTATTTTTGTTGCTTAATCAAACCGATTTTTATAAGATAAAATATTTAATTATAATTTAGTCTTTTAAAATGCTATTTTAATTTTACTTAGGAGTAAAACCGTTCAAATCAAATTTTGTGGTGCCAGTGGCTGAAAAGTTAGAAGAAAAATCAAATAAGTCTTATCCTGCCAGTGTCGTAACAAGTACAAAATGTGAGATAACAGCAGAAAATCCTCCTAATCCACCTAATCCTCCTAAACCATCAAATACTAAAATAAGTTCATCTAATATAGAAAGCTTGAATATGCCGTCTTATAAATGTTGCGAATGTGGTCGTCCCATGACTCTCAGACATTTCGGGTAAGTTTCAGTAAATTTTGATTATGAAGTATTCTTACTTGTTGCTCTATTAATTCAAATTGTATAGTAATGATTAGAAAGTATGCAGTTATTTACTGATATGTAAATATGATGATGATGCTTTATTTAATTTTATTAGGAGATTTCTAAGTTGTGGAAGTTGTCATTATTCGACTAATTGTTGTAAAGCTTTTGTTGACCATATGATAATGAAGCATTCAAAATTGAAAAGGACTGGAAAAAATATGGCAATGGATCTGAAACCTATTGTATTGAAGTATCCTGTGAACTGCGCATGTGGATATTCATCCACTGATGGAAATGTGATAGGTATGTAAATTATATCTGAAATTTTAATGAATACTACTATTTTTAAATTAATTTTATTATTTGAATTTTTTTCATCAGCAACACATTTGGTAAATTGTAAAAAAAGAAGTTGCCATATTTCAAATTCTTCGAAAAGTATGATAACGGTGATTAAACAAGTAGCCGATGGATTTTGGCATATTGATAAAAGTCCTAAAGAAAGAAAATTACCAATTTCACCTGCAAAATCTATTCAAAATGAAAAACTTTTGGATGTATCCGAAACAAAAGGAAATGCAAAGTTAGTTACTGAGAGTGAAATTAAAGAAAAAACTTCCAATAAACATTGTACACTAACAATGAAATCAGTTCTGCTAAACAAAGCTGATACTCAGAATAAAGAAAAACAAATTTATCCAAAATTAGGTAATGATTTTAACATTAAGATTGCTGAAGTGACATCTTCAGCATTAAAACCAATAACCAGCAAAGCAAATCAAATAAATCCATGTAATGCTGTTCATAACAAATTGAATACCGAATTAAAAGGTTTGTATCATTTTTATTAATTTATATCAAGTACTTTTAATGTTTACAAATAATTAACATGGTTTTCTATATTATTTGTAGAAAGTGACGACAGTCCTAGCATGTTGAATGCTTTAGGACTTGTTCGACGTTCCATATCCAACACTTCAGATATCGTCGAAACTCCTAAAGACGTATCAGAAGATACTAAATTAGATTCACTGTACTGTGAAGTAGAAGAACCTAATGCCATTATGAATTCTTGGGAAGAAATTGAAATTGTGGATGATTAACTTTTATAAAATATAAACTGTGATATGGCCAAATAATATGTAGAAAAGAATTATAAATTTAGAAATTTTTATGCAAAATTGATCGACAAATAGAAAATTATTTACTATATAATCTTTTGATATAGAAACATTTAACTTACAAGTTAAAAATTGATAACATTTACAATAAAGATTCATAAAAAATATACTGTTGTATTAAATATGGCATTTCATTTCATTAAGAAAAATTCATTTTGACTTTTGTTATTTTGAAGTCCGATGCTGTTTCATTGTATAAAGTTTATTTTCCCTAGCAAACAATTTTTAAAATTGAAATTTTTTTTGATAATAAATTTGTTGCAGAATATCTGAAGACAGAAGTTAAGTAAAGAATTAAATTTGTTGAATGTTAAAAACTAGACTATAAAGTAAGTTTTGCCTTGCACTTAAACTTTATATATAAATTATATTGTATGTAAAGTGTTTTTTACACATTGTATCAATGTATCTCTTAAAATAGATGAATATAATTTCAAAAAATTATAGTAATGTTTTTCAGTATATGAGCAGGCTCATATCAGTTAGTTATTTCTTAACAATTCTCTATTGTCTTGCAATTTCCAGATGAATTGCTTGAGATTAACGAACAAGAAGTCATATAATAATACAGAGAAAGTAAGTCTCTTTTGTCATTGTTTATAAAGTATTTTTCATTGTCATTTTCCGTTATTTGTTCTTATGCATTTACACATACAATTCATTGAAAAATATACTCTTCATAATATTCAGACAATTTATTACTAATATGTGTACATTTTTTTTATTTTTAAAGTTTGTAAATGTTGTAAGTATACCAAGTAAAATGGTCATTTGTACAAAATTTCTGATTTTATTGATTTTCTTTTTTCCTATTATCCATGTACACTTTGTGATATATGTCAACTACTGCAATAAAGTTTTTAATTATTCTTGGAAAAATTTATTTCAGTTATACAAAAATTAATTTATTTAATTTTATAAGAATACTTTGAGCATTCTGAATGTAAATTTACAATGTAATACACGTATAGAAGTTCATGGAAGATTGAAATGCAGTTTTGTAGTTATACTAGAATTTTTTGAGATTCGATGCAGATATGTTTTTAAGAGGAGTAGTGCAAAAGATTGTGAAAATTTATAAAAAGAAAATACAGATTTTATATAGAAATTTGTTGTGTAAAGTAATACTTTTGATATATGATATTCTTGGATATTTACCAGTTCATAGCTATAGGTTTAGAACGTGATGATAATAATTAGCTAAACACAGTTACAATTATTAATTTTTAAATTACAGTCAGAACTCAGTTTTTGAACGCCTTCCTTTTTAAACATTTTAGTTCATTAACAGAATTTCAAACTCATTATTGCACTGGTTGCGGTACGATAACTCGGTTGTCAAACAAGCTTCTCAGCCAGAGAAGATTAGAGATTAAACAGATTAGAGAGAGAGAGATGGTCAACACTCTATACGACTTATGTTAAAGAAAGTCTAACGGCTGACCAATCAATGACAGGACTACCGATTCAGAAATTAGTGGGGCCTTGATTGCTTTGCATCATTAAATGTTGTGATACAAATCATTAATGATGATTCTATTTAAATTAGATTTAAATGTGTATATACAGAAAAGACAGTATTTCCATTTTTTGGTATGCCTCACAGTTGAATCTAAATCAAAATTAATTAATAAAAACTGCATTAATTGCCATTCACATAATATAAATGTCATCCAAGAATTTGTGTTTAAATATGCTTAAGTTAAATTAAATAATAAAAATTTATTAATATTATATTATATATATATTGCATTTGTAGACCTTTTTTTTTGCAGGAGATACAGCTAAACAGGTAAAAAAAAAACAGACTGTTTTAGGAGTTAGTAACAGATTAATCCATTTTATATTGTTTTTTATGGGAACATTTGGTTTTCGAACAACTTTTAGGAATAAATTATGTTCAAAAATTGAGTTTTACTGTATTTTAATGTGAGTGATTTTTAAATTTATTATTATTAATTTTTTGGATTACAATACCATCTTGTCTTATTATGGGCATGTAAATAGGCTGATTTGCATTTGTATTTGCATACCCATTACAGGGAGCAAGAATAAATTAGACCTAAAAATGGTCCTCACTTTCTCAATATCCATCGAAATCACATATTGACCGTATCTAAAAGTAAACAAAACCTGAGGCAAATCATGCGATTGTCCCCGTTTCAACTTCTGGTAGAACGTTGGACGTTGTGTTGTCAGTGTTGGTTAATAGTCGATGCAAACTGGTATTGCTAAAATACATTAACAGCGTTTTGTAAGTTGAACAATAGACAAACTCTTCATATTAAAAAATACAATAGAAGTAGTGATAAACGTTTTATTTGTTTATTTATTATTTGATGAGTGTGTGTTGCATGACAAGTAAACTGCATGTAAAAAATTAATATCACCACATTTTTAAAGCAGAGAAAATGAATTACGAAAATTGTTTTTCGGCTTTCTTTAAATCACTATATTGTCTCAAAATTATTATAAGATATATTATTGTTTATACATAAAACTAAAGTTAATTCGACTTTCTTTTCATTTCTTTGATGCTATTTTTAGAGGAGAAAGTGCAACATTCCTCTCTTATTTTTGCATACAAAATAATTTTGAAATATATTATATATATATATATATATATATATATATATAACCTATTGTTTAAAGAGAT